TTCTTTTTTTTTTATTAAAGTGAAACGTGAGGGAGTACTAGTGCCTACTAGTCAAACATACAGATTTCATTAATCAATATGCACGTCCAATAATACGCCACAGAATATCCGATTTGTGTGCTCACACAAGTCAAATTAGAGCTACAGAGTAAATACGAAATCGTAAATAGTTGAGTAGGGCTTATTTTCAAATGATCGGGAGATTCAGCAGGGTCTTACGTGCTCATATGTCTTCAAACGTTGCTGTATAGTTCGAGATGTGTATATTCTTTGCTCATAGTTGACCAAATATCACAGTGTTGCTGATTTTGAGTACTGTTTGGAGGTGTTTTAGCATAACAGAGCATCTCATTTCTTGATGGTATTCAACTAATATATCGCGCACAAACTGTTATAAAATTTTTATATAGTTATAAGTATTATTAATATTAAAAGAGAGTTTTCTAAAGCGCTATATTTACGAAACCGCGTAAATCTTTACAGAAAAAATGAATTACTTTGACTGCACGTAAGGATGGAAAGATAGAAACACAATACAAACCTATAATGTCTGCTATAATTCCAAATAGTTGCTATTAGGTTTTCGACCTAATGTTCTGTTGACCCTTACAAACACTGAGATATGTTTAACATATAATATTAAAACCTCAAGTAAGTGAATGTATTTCGAATGGAATGTACTACGAAGTGCAAGAGTAGTGGCTTTATGTGATATATTGAATGAATTGAATGAGAACACAAGCAAATAAAATTTTTTTTTTAATTTTTTATAATTAGTTAAATTAATTTAATTAGTTTAATTAAACTTTGTATTTCTTGATAATAATAATTAGTATTTTTATATAACGGGAGATTAAAATATGTTTTTATCTATTAATTTGTCTAGGTTAAAATTAAATTCATCCCACTGTTAGGTAATATCTATGCATTTTCTTTTCTGAATTGTAATAATTAAATTCTACAATAAAATTTAATTATTGATTTTTGTTTTACCGAATAATTTCATTTCCTGGTAAACAACCATTGTTCAATAAGAGTATATTTGTATATACTTGTGTGTCGATAATATATATACTAATGACGCAACTATTTGGACATTTAATCGTTTTTTATAATCATTTATAATTTAATTAAATTAGCACATAATTTTTTTGACAGACTATTTATTAAATAATTAAAATATTTCAACTAAGTTTAAATTGTTATAATTAACTGTATTCTATAAATGCATGACATCCTCTAAATATAAAAATTTTGATCAATGTCAACAGTCTTTCAAATATGAGATATGCATACCAATTTAAATATGTTGGATAGTACGTTGGGTGTTCTGTCAAAAAACATGCTAAAAGGCTAAATGAGTAAGAAATGTGATAATGATTAAGCATTAGTTCATTTTGGTCTAAGATAATGGAAAAAGTATTGACCAGTACGAAATTGATAAGATTAATTATCAACTTCATATGAAAGCGAAATTTTATTTTTATTACTAAACATTGTCACATAAAGGTTTTAAAAGACTTAAATTACTATAAAATGGCTGTAATATATGTCTTGGATCTTCTTATCGCAAGGCATAAATCACTACTTTTATAATAGGAGAAAAATATTGAAATCTATAGTGTGTAACTTAAGCTATCTACAACCACCTTTAAAGAATTTAATAAAGAAACCATTCATATTTTTAACCATCACGTGGGCATTATAAATTTCAGTTTTTAAGATAATTTTAATAAAGAAGGAGAGAGAGAGAGAGAAACAAAGCAAAGCTAGCTTATAGAGGGACGTATCTGTATTATTAACATGGTTTCCTGCCGTGTAGGCTTAACATCACGGTGTTCTTCACACATACATCGTTACATTGCGCCCATGAACGCCCCATTGGAATCTCCTTAGTAATTTCGCCAATTACCAATGAAGAGATGCATGCAAGACATAGCTTCCATTATGATAGGATGCGAGACACATCTTAAACTTCTGCTACAATTTGGGTTGTAACACCTGGTGGTGAATACACAACTCCACGCCGAATGCAACCATTTAACTGAATATTCTTCCCACGTAAGTTGGGGTATTAACCATAGCCACTACGAGTCCAACCTCAACTGCTCAGGACAGCTTAACTTGCGGACCACACTCCCAGCATAAGTGTCGGCGTGGTACCGGAATTTTAGTCGCTTCTTACGACAGGCATGCCTACCTCGGGAATATTCTAACCTCTTATCCGCAGGTGGAGACTTATAGAGGCAGAAGTCTCTATGTGTTTTACGTGATTCTCTGCCGTGTAGGCTTAACATCACGTTACTCAAAACCAAACGTCTTGATACAATGAGTCAATTAGCACCCCCTTGGAATAAATTTCCGCAGGTACCAATGAAGAAATGTGTGTAGGTCATTTCTTTCATCATGGTTTAATGCGAGGCCTACCTAAAACCTCTGCTACAATGTGGGCTGTAGTACCCGGTGATGAATATGCAACTCCACGCCGAATGCACCATAATGTTTTTCATTATTCCCGCGTGAGTTTGGGTACTAACCACAGCCCCTACGAGGTCAACACTAATGGTCAGTACAGCCGAAGCTGCGGTCCACTGACCTCCTTAGTACCAGATCGGATCATCTCTGGTCAGATGGCGCAAGTGCCGTGCTCACTCACTAGCATACGTACTTCCTACACAAGTACCGGATTGGCACCGGAATTTTCGCCTTTTACGACAAGCATATCTACTGCGGGAATATTAACAAGGTATAATGAATGAGGAAAAATTATTGAATAAAGTGAAAACGAATATCATCTACTGAGAGTTCGTTAAATTTTTACTATGATTTACTAAGGCCGTGTGCGAGTTCGAGTAAATTGATGGTAAATTAAGGGATATAGTAAATTATGTCGGTATGACAGCAAATGTTGGTATTTAACAGAATGTCGAGTAGGGTAAATTAGATAAAAATTGGGTAAATTATGTATTACCATTGTGAAAATTTTATAAGATGTTTAATAAATAAATATATAAATTTAAAAACTTTTGACAGAAAAGTAACAAATAAGTGTAAATAAGTGCAGTGCAAAAAATCTCTAGGAAAATTTAATTTACTGTACCTCAAGTTACTCAAACTCGCAGACGGCCTTAATTGTGCTAGATTTTGTAAATATTATATTGTTTTTATATATTACATTGTGAAAATATTAATAACCAGAGAAAACTTGTTAATTTCCTTAAGAAGTATATGTATATTTATGTTATTATATCCACTTTTGTTATTTATTGATAATATGTCCCTTTAAAATCATGGCTTTTAGCTTGAAAAACACTATGGAAATATATTTTAGATGTGGTCTTAAACTTCGTCTGCAATTTTGCCTTTATCTTATTTACTTAAAAATTAAATTAATATAGAATTAATTATTATTATTTATTATTTGGTTAAAAAGGTTAAGATAAGAAGGAGGATAAGAAAAAAAGTATTAGAACAAATTTCGTATGGTCCGTATGACATGTGAAACCTCTCCAGTGTTATTTTTTCTAAGAGCAAGCATAATCTGTTAAATTTTTTTCACTTTTTCATTAATGAAAGTGATGTTGAGACTACCAGAATTCTTGACAGAGTTTCTGATATCTTGCAGAACACCATCTTACTTAGATTAATTGTTAAAGACAGGCTATAACATTTTTAAAGAATTGGTGTATTTATTTGTTTTTAACATTTTTTAGAAAGTCACTGGTCCATCATTTTGTCACATAACGAATCACTAATGTATGTCTTGCTAACTTGTTCGGCAAATATAAACTAAGTATCGATATTCCCTGACAGTTTCAGCGTACATTACTATCAGTGCAACCAATACATAAAAAAAAATTCGATAAATAAGATACATCGTGTGCAATTTCAAGATTCTCATTACT